CCCTGGAGATGTGAGGCAAAAGTTTCGGCTCTGTCTTTGTCGCTGCGGGCCCAGCAACCAGATGACTTTCTTATCGGGGTGACGGTTTCAGTTGGTGAGCTTAAATTTGGGTGAGCTCTCCATAAGGGATGCTTTGTGCTGGTTTGCGAAAGTTTCTCAATATATCTTAATTGTGCATTTTCGGCACCTTGCTTCAGGGCCCGGCTTAGTTTGCGTGTGGCTTCATTTAGACGTTGCTTTGAGCATGGCGATCTATTGGTTTGCCACGCCCGTCGCAAACGCCTCTTTTCTTGGATAATCAATCTTGGATAATTCAATCTGCTGGTTCGTTTTGAATTTGATTTTTTGCACATCCGTCTGTTGTGGTGTTGAGATCTTGGCTGCAGTCACAAGTACATCTTCCAGAGCGCAGGTGGAGGAGTCGATGTCGGCTTCAGTATTGAGCTGGGGGGCTAGCTCAATGTGAGAACTCACATACTTTTTGTATTTCATCCAATTTGTTCTGTGCGACGTCAGCCTAGGGGCGATCCGTAGTTTATGGGCTGTGAAGGAGGGTTATCAACAGCGGCGAGTGATCTGAAGAAAGGTGCGGAAGGGCCTTGGCGTTTATTAAATTGCGTGGGATGTTTTTTGTCATGCGAGGTGGGCAGTAGACAGCAGCAATGCAAAGGTTGCCGTTACCTGACTGCACTTTAATGGACGTAGCTTGCAAGTAATTTGTTCTAAACCTTTGGTGAAAGTGGTGTTTAATGCGTTCTCTGATAAGGATGCCGGTCCCGCCGTGGGCTTTACCATCTGGATGATCTGTGCGGTGGAAGGTATAACCTCTTAAATGAAAGTTGTATCTGCTTGTGAGGTGCGTTTCAACCAGTAGCATGGCGTCGATGTGGTTTTCGTTTAGAAATTGTGTTAGTTCGAGTTTATGCCGTGAGACGCCGTTGGCATTCCACGTGGATATACGTAGATTGGACATTGATTATTTTGACTGTTGTGCTACAAGCAGCTGTATCACCATATTCTGATTTTGGACAACCGTTTGCATGGTCGTTTTCATAAATGACATGAGTTCCATCATACTTTGTTGCATGGTCACCATCATGGATTCCAGGTTGTTTTGTGGCTGCCCTGGGGCCTGCTGAGCATTTACTGAGTTTGAGGGGAGTGGATTTTACATACCTGTCCGTAGAGCTTCGGCGTAGGAGATGCCCGTGGGGGCATTTAGCGGACCAAAAGAGGATCTGGCTGCTTTGGCAAAAAATACTTCTGGAGTAGTTTTTGAATTATAATACACATTTTGTGTATTTTGTTGGCGTGTAGCTGTTGCTCGTCGCATGCGACTCTTCAGCTCCTTGTAGACCACGCAGCCTCTGTAGTTAGCTGTATGGTTTCCTCCGCAGTTTCCACATTTTTTCGTGTTGGGGTCTTCTTTGTTCGCAGGGCAGTGTGCGGAGTTGTGGAAGTCTCCACAGACTACGCAGACTGACCGAAGGGTGCAGTATGTCCTTGTATGTCCATACTCCTGGCAATTTGCACAGGACCGCTGCGTTTGTGCGGTTCTTCCACGGTGATTCTTCGGTGCAATAGGAACTGCAACTTGTAGATCGGGTGAACTTCATTTCTCTTCAGGGTTTTAATTTCTGGCTCCAGTTCGACTTTGAACAGTGGTTGCGGCTTTTTGTTTTTATTTATAATGTTGCTGACATTCTTGGCAAGGAAACCCTTGCCTTTCAGGGCTTCCACTATCTCAAAACGGGCGACGTCTGGTTCAATTCCTTTTAACACGACTTGCAGTCCCTTGCTGCTTTTTAGTTGGTAGGTGTAAAAATTCTTTTTGGATTCTTCCAGGTATTTAGACACAGCCCGGAAGTGTTCTTCTGTTTTGGTTTGAATTTTTGTTTCGCAAATGTTCCCTTTAATAAGCGGAACAACATGAAAGTTTCCGTCCCCAACCAGCGCAACAATTTTGTTGGCCGTTGGCACCGATTTTGCAATATTGGTCGTTGGTTTAGTTGTTTTTGTTGCTTTTGCTGCGTTTGCAAGAATTGCAGCACTGCTTGTTGTTGGTGCGTCTTCCATCAAAGCTGGTGGTGGTGGGGTTTGGCATTCGTAGCTCCAAGATGTAGGTGCTTGAGTGAGTAGGGCGGGTGAGCAAGAGCGCGCTCTCTTGCCATCGGCGGTTAGTAGAGCCGGGTTGGGCTTTGTAGACGTTTTTTCTGCTTCGATATCGCGAGTTGAGAAGTAAGAGAAACAACCGTTTCTCTGGTTTACAGAGGTTCTACGCTTATTCTTCTGATCGCTGCTCATTATTTTGAGCTTGTTACGCGTGGCACCATATAAATGAACTTTGCAGCTCAAAAACACGTCTCACGCACTAGTGTCCGTATGTCATACGCACTGTAGGGCTTGGCCTAACTAGCAGTACGTAGTTTGGAGTTCCGAATTTACTTTTTTACCATGAAAAACACTACAAGAGTAAACCCCGCGTAGCGTTCGTCCGTAGGCACGTCTGCACTCGATGAAGGTCGAATGAGAAATAACGAATCTTAATGTTTTTTTTTGAATACGCGTAATGAAGCTCTCCATGGAATAGACTACAATTATATTGATAGCTTATACATTGGATTTTTTGTTAACAAAAAAGTGAAGAAAATTTTCAGAAAAACGAAAAAAAAATTTTAAGTAGCCGCAATTTGTTTATTTTTTATTTAATTTTTATAATTGTAGTCTATTCCATAACCACATTAATACTAAACAAGAACATCTTTGAATTTTTTGTTTCAGTCGATTTTCACGTCCTGCAGGACGGTTGCCAGAGGGGTACCTTTTTTTTTGCAGAGGCTTACGTCGTCCTGTGTCCTGCTTCAGGACATGCTCTAAAAATTTTGAAATTTTTGCTGTCATCTTTAAGGGGTTATCCGGGCTTAGAACCACATAAAAAGGCCTATTGTCCAGCATTTTTTTAAAAGATCCTATGACAATTTTACAAATTTCATCTATTCTACATTAATACATAAGGTTTGAGCTAAATTCTGTAACATTTTGAACAAGAAATATTCACAAATGAGCCGTTGAGGGAGGGTTGAACTTAACCCTAAAAAAAAATTATGTCCTTGCGGTGGGCAGGATTTCTCCGTCAATTTTTATTTAAAATCAAAAAACCAAAATTTTTCTGTTAGCTTATGTGTCTGGCTTGTCTTTGAACGAAGGATTTGTTAAAAAATTTAAAATTGAATTTTTGAGAGCGTTTTTCATAAAAAATTTCACTTTTTACGTCAATTTTGGCCATATTTTGGGTTATAAAATCGGTTGTAATTGAAGATATAAAAAATCCTTCGTTCAACGACAACAAAAACATGCCTAGAAGAAGTGTGCAAAAGTAGAAGTAGATCGGTGCAATAGTTTTCGAGAAATCTTGACTACCGACTTCAAGAAAGTGGTTTTGAGAAAAACGCGTTTAAAGTTTTAATTGCCGGTTGTGACTCATACGACGCGCTGGGCTTTAAATTTCTCCCATTCCTACAGTTTTGCTTCGATCGACTTGAAATTTTCGGACAACATTCCTGACACTGTAGTATTATATAAAAAAGTTTAAAAAAAATTCATTTTTTTTAATTTCAAAACCCGGATAACCCCTTAAACTATGATAAATATATCTGACAAGTTTGAACTTTCTATGTCTTTTCCTTTGTCCACAAAAAATTCCTGAAATGGCCTATTTTTTGGGCCAACTAACCAGAATGGACCCTTAAAACAAAAACACAACATATTATGACATACAAATTACTCATTTTTATCGTAAATACCTTCATTTTCAAAATTCATTTTATTAGATTAAGATTGGACGCGATTTTATATAAAAATTCAATTTCTTTGTGCAGTCTAATTTTTAAGCTTCGTTCACTGCTACGACCACGTGTTTTCTTTGTCCCTCTTCTCTCTCTATTTGTAGCTCGTACGAAAGAGATAGAGCAAAAATTGAATTACAGTTCGTTTTATTGCTCTGTTAAGTACTAAATGTATCATAAACAGTGACCATATTCAGAATTTCGTTTTTATATTTTTGGCCTATGGAATCAACCACTGTGGTGTTCTACGCGGAGATGTGTGAGTTCTACGCGGTGAGACTTCTGAAACCGCTGGGGCGATCGAACACGCGTCCACTCTCGGCGAATGGCAAAACGGAAGAGAGAGAAATCTAGTGGTGGCACTTCAGCAAAGCGTCACGTTCGATGAACTAGTTCGCCGCTATCGATTGGAATATCGATCGCGGCCGTAAGAGTGCGATACCGCGTTAGAGGGGGGACTTTTCCGTGGGTCGAGTCTCGGCTTAAAATATTAGCTAGTGTTAACCTCGTGTCCTAGCCAAAGATTAACAATAATATAAAGGAATAATATTTTAACATAATATAGAGAATAGTATTTTAACATAGTAAAGCGAAATAGAATAGATAATATATTAATACTCCGATGGTCCTTGGCGCGACAAGTTGAGTTTGTACGCCCTCAGTTTTACGGGATTACAACACTATTTACAATTTTTAAAAATTTTGGGGGTGACATACTGAGTTTTTACCTCTTTACGAGTTCAGTTCAAATTTTTCACTAATAATTTCTTCATATTCAGCCTATCAATAAAATTTTTGTATAAGTTGTGCCGTCTTTTAACATATTTTCATCTAATATGAGACATTGCTATTTTGTGTTATTTCAAAAATGTAAAACTGTAACAGTAAATCTGTAAAAATAAAATTATATAATCATTACCTAATAAAAAACTGGAAGGGTATACAAATTGCGGCGCGCCGCAGTTACCTTTATTTATTGTTTATGAGTTAAAAAGTACGTCTGTACTTACATTATTATTGAAGCTTTATCTAAAGAAACCTCTGTGTGTTTATATTGTAAATTGTATAGCACTATGAGCTTCGGTTTCCCGAAGTTTTTTTCACTTCTAATATCTTAAAAATTATAAATTTAAATATATATATATTTTTTTTTAGTCGCATGAATTTAGCAAAGAGCCATCACTACAGTGGGTTATGAACTCAATCCATTCGAATTTATCGGCATTAGCTGGAGATCAATATCAAGTTTTACGCCAGCCGTTATGGTCAGCTGTGGATGACGAAGTGAATTTATCAGATTGTGACATATACAGTTATAATCCGGATCTGAGCTCTGACCCATTTGGGGAGCCAGGTTGTTTATGGTCATTTAATTATTTCTTTTACAACAAGAAATTAAAACGAATTGTTTTTTTTACAAGCAGAGCGGTAAAGTATGTATATTTAATATTGTCTATAATGTTAAACTATTCTAAATTCTCTCATTTCAGTTCACTTTATGCTAATGAAACCTTGGATTTCTCGATGGAAGACGATGTGTATTAAAGTATTACTTACCGTTGGTTAAAATTTTGTTAGAGTAATCGTGCTAATAAATATTTCGCATTTTCTCAAAAAGAGAAATATAAAATAATAAATAATAATAATTATAATAATAATAATAATAATAATAATAAGTAAAATTAATAATAACTGAAACAAACTTGGCCAACTTGGATATACATATATTATCGCAGTCGGCGTTTTGGCGCAACGATTTTCATGAAAATAAAATTGTAATTCTAAGCTTTTGAGAACCAAAAAATATACCTTTTAAAGAACAAAATATTTTTATTAAGCCCGGAACAATCTCCCGAAAGTCCTCAAAAAAAAGTTGGTTTCCTGTGTGCATCTAAACTGTCCACAGAATTATCCGATATACAACAAAAAAACTGTCCCTGAGTTCTTACGTTTCGTTTCTATTTTTTTAATTTTTGCTGATTATTTAAAAAATTGGAAGTCAAAATGTCGATTTTTGATTTTAAAACAGATTATTTTTGATTAAAAAGTATAATAAAATTTAAAATGAAAAAAGTACCTATATAAAGACCTGTAGAATTGGTTAAAGAAGTTACGTGCCAAATTTCAAAACGTTTCGTCCTGTAGAATTTGATTTATCGTGTACACGGATTTTAAAAAGACTCTTTTCAGAAGGGTGGTTCACACTTTTTGATACTAATATACAAATGACCTCCTTTCAACTACGCATAACTTTGAAGAATTATTCTTAAGATATTAGACAATAATTTAAAATAAAAAATTGGATGGTATTTTAAACAAGAATGCTGTTTCATAAACTAAGACTAACTTTAAACTAATAGGTGTTCTTTTACTTGTGATGAAAAAACAAAAAAAGCATTGCTTAAAATTAATCTTAGGAATATGTAGTTCTTATTTGGTGCGCTGATGTTTAAATTTGCAATTTGCATTGTATTTTAAAATTATTTCTGGACTTGCGGATCTGAATACGCCAGCCTAATGGCACGCGGAAAGTTTCCGTGTGGTTTTGCTCGGAAGTTAACAGGGACTTAACAGCTGGATATACGAATTCCGTGGCGAATGCAGCGGTTCGTGAAGAGGACGAAGAGTACCGAGGAGAGGCCGAAGAGTGATGAGCAGCGGCCGAAGCATGCCGAGGAGAGGAAGAAGAGACGAGAGGGAGGTGTCAACTGACGCGAACGGCGTCGAAGCATCGGTTGCTCTTGCATATGCAAGAGTGTGTGGTGCTCTCCGTTGCAAATCTTGCACCTATCGCCACGGCGACACGCCCCGTGGCAGACTCGGCAACGGTAGGAGTTTATACCTCGTGTTCGCCTGCTCTCCATTTCGACGGCGCTACGTAGACGTGGGAACATTTTTTATAAACTGGAGTAGGATACAGAAGAGAGAATTAGCATGGAGTCAAATCTATGACTTAGAACTAGCGGAAAAAACATTACGGAGTGGGGATACGGCCGGCTATTGAGGTTTTTGGAGGTCGCCCCCAGAAGCAATACGACTTTTGCGACAGGGCGCTTTACGATCCCCCGAGCAGTGCGAATATTGAGCACTCGGACATGACCATCGAGTCCGGGAAACACGAAATCATTCCTGCCGAGTCGCCACTCATTGGATGGCAGATTGTCGTCCTTGATGATACCCATTTCGCCCACGTTGAGATTTCGTGTGGGGACTTGCCATTTTGTTCGCTTATGGAGTTCCTTGAGGTACTCTTCCTTCCATCTCAGGCGGAATTGGTGATGAAGGGCCTTAAGGTGCTGCCACCGGTTGATAATTGACGTGGACGCACCCTTTATTTCGGGTTCGACGGTGGCGAGAAGGGGTCCACCCACGAGAAAATGACTTGGCGTGAGTGCTAACAAGTCTGTGGGGTCTTCGGACATCGGGGCGAGTGGACGCGAATTCAGAAAGGCCTCAATCTTGGCCAGCAGTGTGGAAAGTTCCTCAAACGTGTACTTGCGAGTGGCTGTGGATTTATAAAAAAGCGCTTTGAAGCTTTTAACTCCAGCTTCCCACAATCCTCCCATGTGCGGAGCTCCTGGGGGTATGAACTGCCAAAGAAGTCGCGTTCGTCACAGACAGCTTGCAGAAATTCACGAGACAGCACTGCGGCCGCACCAACAAAGGTCTTTCCATTGTCCGACTGAACTTGTCGAGGTCACCCTCTTCGCGAAACGAATCGAGCGAATGCTGCGGGAAATTTCTCTGTTGTGAGGTCCGTAGCGTTCCACCGTACTCCCAGAGTCTTAGTGGTGCTGACCTCGTCGAGATCAAGGAAATCACTTGAAAGTAGGTGCTCTTTGGGAAGTGCTTTAAGGAGTGCACTTTCATTCGATGTCCACTTGCGGAGAGGGAATCCAGCTGAGATCAGAGCTGCTCGAAACTCCTTAATGGCTAAAATAGCTTCAGCTTTTGTATGGGCTCCTGCCAGCACATCGTCGACATACATGTAGTTTAAAATTATTTGCGACGCCCGTGGATATTGGGCATTGACATCGTCGGACAGTTGCTGCAGTGTTCTTAGGGCCAGGAAAGGGGCACAATTCACTCCAAACGTGACAGTCTGAAGCTCAAAGTCAGCTATATCCCCTTGGCCATTTTCTCTGAAACGGGGTGTGTTCTTGGTTTAGGCGAATCTGCCAATACATCTTGGTGATATCGGCATTCAGAACGAATTTAAATGTCCGCCACTTCAGGATTTGAAGAGTGAGATTGGACTGCAGTACTGGCCCTGGATACAGGATGTCATTAAGGCTGTTCCCATTTTAAGAAGGACTAGATGCGTTGAAAACTACGCGAACTTTCGTCGTCGCACTTTCGGGCTTGAATACTGCGTGATGGGATAGGTAGAAATTTATTGTGTCGGTATTTGGAGGCACCGGCTTCATATGGCCAAGATCGATCACTGAGTCATAGGTATCTTTGAGAACGGGCTCCTTTTTTAAGCGAGTCTCATTCCTCAGAAACTGTGCTTGAGCGGAACTCCTGGAATACCCCAAGTCAATGTGCTCAGAATCCTTGAAGGGTAGGGATACTATATATTTCCCGTCACAGGATCTGGTAGTTGTTCGGACGAAAATGTCTTCATACAACTTGTCCGTCTCCTTTACCACTCTACATGTAAGATCCTCCACCTCCCAAAATGTTGTGAGAAGTGTTTCCATGGTTGGTTCAGATTATATGGATACCTGTGTGGTAAAGGACGAAACCATACTAGTGGATGAAGACACTGGGCCGGTTAAAATCCACCCGAAAATGGTCTCTTGTCCTAATAAAGACCCACAAACGTTTGGCCTCCAGCTTGACAGCAGGACAGACGGAAGAATATCCGTTGGCTTGGCCGGAGTGCCCATCTGGAAATGACACACCCTGTGACTCTTGTTGTTACGGCTTGAAAAGGAAGTTTGATTCGGTTGGCAAGCCTCTCTTAAATGAAAGTGCCTTCGGAGACTGAGTCTATCAGGGCACGGGCTGGAAACTTGCGAATGTTCAAGGGCTATCAAGCACCCTTGGATTGTGCTCTGAAGGTCACTTATTCTCAAAGCGATCTTGAAGCGCTGACCAAGCGGATTGTAACCCATCATTAGTTAGCGGAGACTTCGTAACAATGGCGTGAGCTTCGCCGCTAGTTTTGGCGTTTAAGTGGAAAAGCTTTGAGTTAATCTCTAATTATTCACATAAATAGCCTCAAACAGGTCACGAAAAGGGGGCCAGCGCAGATAATCTCCGTCGAAGATTGTATGGCGGAAGACTGCAGCCCCTCGAGAATGTCTCTGTCGGCGGAGCTGCTCTTGCCTGTGAGTTGGAGACGGACACACTGTCGATGTCTTCGTTCAGCTTGGAAGCACTGCTTTCGTACACCGCATAGCAGTGCTCGTATTTGTTTTGAAGTAGCGGAAATCTTCCGCTACCTCACTTGTGAAGAGCTGCTTTGGAAACGGTCTCATACTCCCGTTCAACCTTTTCCCATATGGACTGGATCTGATCTAGACGGATCTTTAATGTGAATGAACTGGGCTCGGAAGTGGATGCCGCAAAAATCTGGCTTTCAAATTTGCTGAGACGGTCGCTAGTTGCTATAAACTCTGTGTCTCTCGGACTCGGTTCCCGCCTTTGGCTTCCGTCTCTTGAAAGCGCTAACTGCGCTCTCTCCCTCTTCTGACTCGCGTCTTGGGGAATTGACTCTTGTCCTTGTGACATATTTGTATTCCCTTGGGAATAGGTGAGTGAAGCTGCTGGATTGAGCATAATTCCCAAGATAAAGGATGTTCGCAAGAATGTGCTGAATTCGGATGGTAGAACTATTTGATCTCAGTACCGTCAACTAAGTCCAAGCAGTAGAAATGTGAGACGGTAAAATCGAATCAAATATGGATTGCAAGAATATGCCGTAGAATTCGGATGGTAGAATTATTTGATCTCAGTACCGTCAACTAAGTCGAAGAAGTAGAAATGTGAGACGGTAAAATCGAAACAAATATGGATTGCAAGAATATGCCGTAGAATTCGGATGGTAGATGGTGGAATTAAATACCGTCAACTAAGTTGAAAATTTAGATATGTGAGACGGTAAAATCGATCTGAGTAGCGAATTGCACGTAAATAAACTGGAAAAAATGTATTTGAAGTAAATGCGACGAGAATCGAAATTTATTTGACCAACTAAAATATATGGAGTGGAAACAGTTGTAATTGGAGCAGATGCGACGAGGATCGAGATTTATTTGACCAAATAAAATAAATGCTGAACGGAAATGCAGTTTTTGTTATTTTCGTATTTAATAATAAAACAATAAATACAAGAAGGATGTAGATTGAGTAATTTGGACGATTACGGATATTTTTTCGAGTGAAAAAACTTAAAAAAATAAATAAATTAATAATTAAATCGTTATGGTGGGATTGGAACACCTGACACTTTGTTCCAACACAATATTCGTTGGGTTGCGCTGCCGGCAATGTAAAAGCTCTTGTGTATGTATAAGTTAACTATGGTCAGCCAGACCAGAGTCGTTGACCACAGTCAACATCATAATGAAGCTCCGGCCAGATTGCTGACCCAGCAATGGGCCGGATGCTCGTGCACAGACGGCAGACACTGCATATTTGCGTGGCCGCTGTGAGCCTTTGTTAGCTTTAGGTTCTTTTCGTATATTCAGTTCACATTTGATATACAATAAATCAAGAGCACCAGCTTTCATTTATGAAACTCCGGCACTTAGCCGTTAACTCTCTTATTAATTATTATACTGACTGAGTCACTAGGCCAGCGGTATCGAAGGACAGTCATCCTTCCACCGTAATCTCCCTATCTCAACATAGGAGCAGTACGACCATCCCTTGGGATCTACAGCGACGTGAGCCACCAGGGGCAGTAACCTTCCGCCGACCCCCCGCCACGGATATCCAACCAGCGGCAGTAACCTACTGCCGGCCCAGACAATCAATTGAGGAAGGAGGTCGAAGCGACCACCCGACTCTCCATTGGCTGCCAACCTTGGCGGTCACCAATACCCAGCCGGCTCTACCCCTGCCACGGAGGCATAGCCAGCCGGCTCTGCAATATAAACAATTTACACAAATTGGAATATTACCTATTTTAATTGGCGCCCAACTAGCAGAAGTTGGAAGATGACAGCGGCGCAAAGCGCAACCGTTCAGGGAGATAAACACACCATTACAGACCATGTAAGTGGGCCCTTCGGCCAAACTTTTTACGTCTTCAACAAAAAAATACTCCATAGTTCGGACCAGGGCACAAATAAACAAGTCTAAAGTGATTTAAAAAAAAAAAAAAAAGAATCTATTTTAAACGTTACGACTTTAATAGTGTTTAGTGTTTATTTCTTTCATTAATATTTTTTCGCACTGT